TTGTGGATGCCTGGAAGTCTGGATCCTGCCACCTGTTTCTGTTCCTGCCTGATCTGGATTCTGTTCCTGTCTGTTCTGGATCCCTGACCAGGATCGGCTTCCAGAACTGAACTGTCCTACTGACTGTCTCTCCTTGAATACTGGGTCCATCTGTCTTCGGTTCATTACAGAAAATGTATTTCACAACTTTAAGAAGAGATATGACTCAGCGTTTTTTGACTAATGTCATCAACTGTTTTTCTTTTCTGTTGAGGCTGATCCTGATAATGACATGACGTACTCCACCATTCATCACACAAAGACGGCGAATGGTAAAACTGGGGTAAGTCTTCCGTCTGTTTGACTCTATGTTGAAATTAGGAGCTAAAGAAGCAGAATTACTACAGCTGCCGTTGCTTAGTTTCCTGTATGATGTTAGAAAATGTTGACATCAGTTTCCAGCAAGAATTAGAGCCAGAGATAGTGCTGCCATCTTCAGCTTTCAGTATCAGAATCATGTCTCCTCCAATGACTTAAATATATTTCTGAGTTTGACACAACCGTTTTTTTTTTTTCTACTCTCTGTGCTCAGGTTAAGGATGGAGAGGAAGAAGGTGACTCGGTGACCTACAGCTCTGTGAAGGTTCATTCTGCTGATCCTGGCAGCCTCGACGCAACCATCCGCAACCTAAATGAATGAAAAGAGAAATATCTTGTTACTAGAAGTAATCATTACCATATCAGCTGATTGCTTTTGTGACTTATCTAAGCTAATTGGAGGGCGTTAGATGGTGTTAGCCAGGTTTCAGTGAAACAAAAACTATTCAACTTGAATCCAAAAATGTTTTAAAAAAAACACAATCCACTGGACTTAGTTTCCCAGTTTGAAGATGTTTCGCTTTCCATTCAGGCAGAGTTTGTGGCTTTATAGAATGGCCCAAAACAAAGCCTTGTTTTGGCTTAGAAAACATGCAAATTGAACCTGAAGAACAGGTCCGCCCCTTAGGAATGGGGAGTCGTTGAGGTGTTTGTTAGCCTGCAGTACCCGATACTGGTCTATGCCTCTGAAAAGGGGGTCGTTAGGGGGAATCATTGGCCTGGCTGAACAGGCGAGATGTTCTGGTCTTTTCTGTGACATCTGACTATTTCCAATTTACTTATATCTGATTGTTTCCTTTTTTTAGTTTTTAAATTATTGGTAAATCATCTACAATTCATTCCTCAACTGTGATCAGGGTGTTAAATACTAAAAAATAGCTTATTCCTTTGCCAAAGTTCACCAAGACAAAAAAAATGAAATCAGATGTAAATGCTTTAGCTTTTTGTTTTCAGTTTAGTATAAATATAACAACTATAAAGCGATAAATGTTACATTTTTTTTTATTCAAGTGATGTAACCTTTTTTATTTAATGTATGTTGCAATTCTTTCTTGAATTAAAACACAGTTTACATTAAAGAGTTTAAGTGTTTCATATTTAGAATAAAACATTTGTTTCTGGGAGGTTAGAAATCAAAGAAAACAGCTCAATTGTTCATGCATTAAATAAATCGCAACACAAAAACCTTTATCCACCCAATCATTAACCGCACCTGTGCAGGGTTCATATTGTTTTAGGCAGAATCTCCAGAAGACTCAGGTGGATGCACCAAGAACCCCCTGGATGAAAGTATACTTTACAAACTGATCGCATTTTTTTAGACTGAAGGGTCAACTATCTGATCTAGCAGTTCGCATCACAGGAGCACCACAGGGCACAGTAGTCTAACCATTCCTTTTTACAATGAAAAACTCTGTCTTCTAGTACTAGAAAGAGTTATATCACCTGCAGAAATACTTTGATTGCTCTGCAGTCATTTGGTGCATCAAAGATGCACAGGAAGCTGCGTACAGGGAGCGTTCAAATCACTTTGTGTCATGATGTGGAAACATGAATGTCAACAAAACAAAGGAGATTAATGTAGGTTTCAGAATAAACAGAAGATTGAGCCAGTTAACAGTGATGGGAGTAACGGCGTTGAAAGTAACAGCGTTACTAACGCCCCTACCTTTTTTTAGCAACGAGTAATCAAAATGATTACTCTTACTGTAACTATAACGCAGTTACAATTGCCGACATCCCATTACTGCACGTTACTCAGGTCGCACAATTAACCTTTTTTCATGATAGGACTCGTGCGCGCCTTGTCATGA